GACCTTTTTAACTGCCATAAAACCTCTCCAGCATATCTTGAATACGAGGCATTCTGGAGTCAAAAGCAAATAATTCTGGAGCCACCTTCGCAATAAGTTTCTAATTCATTCACCTGAAACTGTTTCAGCAGACATCTGCCTTATTCTGGCGCGATCTTTAGCGATAGGATGGAGATGAAAAGGCCTGCATATATGGCGCGCATCACTTCTGCTTTGCTGCATCACTTCTACAGTTTACTCGAGGAAACCTTTGGTTTCTTTTGACTCGCTGCTTGATATATAAAGTAAGCAACACTGGTCTGATGTGAACACGTCGAAAGAGGAGAGAGGCTAATCACATTGTTCTGGGATATCACTAACGGCATTTATACAAGAAATTACGTGTTAATAGTGAGTTGAAAATACTTACCATAGTGAGGACCTACTACCTGAAAGATACTTCGAAATGAATGACCCTAACAATATTTTCAGAAGTCTCGCAAATTCCTTTTTTTAATTAATGTTAATGCAGTATGCATCCTATAGAATCCTTTGAATCCTTTCTTCTCCTTGTGAAACCCTTCAAGGCGAAAATTCACATGATAGTTTTTTTCACTTCAGTGTTCCAACAACAAGCACTTATCCAGTAGAACTAGCCCATTCAAGGTGCAAGTCCATTAGGCACACTGAGTGACTGTACATCTTTAGTGTGCTAGATTTAAGCCTTCTCTACTATAACATCATGGAAAGAAATATAAATATAGGTGTGAACAATAAGAACATACATATGTACCAATGAATAAACACGTATATATTTTAGGAGTAGTTAAGGAGATGTCTCGTATAATTCTGTCTTATAAACTTTAATCTTTGCTGATTGGCGACCCTTATAAAAAGCCACTAATTTACTGCACAAGCAAACCTAATAAAAATCTCAGGTACCAAACAACTGGGTGTACAGCTTGAGTTGAAGTAACGTAGGAATTCAAAATAAGTTTAGTTGCTTGGAAATGACTCACCTCTTTAGGCTTAGTCATACAAACCATTCTCGCCTTTTCTGAACATGGTGCCGTAGAGACGATTACTGGAAGATCATAAGGATATTCAATTTTTTATAGATAACAGATTCAGAAATTTACAAATTCTATCTGTCCACACTGCCTAAGATCCTGCTGTAAAACGCGATAAGAAAGAGACTACTGTGAATGCCAAGTAAGAGTAATGTCAGGGAGCAGCTTAGAAAATATAGTTGTAATCAAAATAAAGTTCTATTTGTGGGAATAATTTACTCCAATTTAACTTACAAGTGAATAAATAACAACGATTTTCAATTTTGTTTTTGATATTTATCAAACGCCAAATATGCAAAATTATTTTCCAAGGAATTCCCCCACCAAAAAAACCCTTACCTTTACAGCACATAAGAAGTCCCATAAAAATTGAAAAGAAATTTGAGGAAGGCAAGCATACCAAAAACAAAACAAAAAACTTAAATTTACGCTATAAAAAATATTAAAATAAAGAGTAGGCAAGTAGGAGTACTAAAATTGACCAGCACACTTTTCCGTTGTTTATAGCTTCTCAAAAATTTTAATTCTGGAACTTTTAGACATCTTACATTCAAATTCCAAATTAGCACCCGTCTTCATGCCTTCTTCAAACCCATTTTCTTGATGAAAAACACTTGTCATAACTTACCGTTTTTTTAGGATTCAAGTATAACAAGAAGTATTTAGATGAAAAACGAAATACTTTTTGATTTCCAACGTTTGTATTCCCAAACGATGCAGGTACCTATTTGTTTATCCATTGGCTCTAAATAGGAGACTGCAAATTTAGTACTTGGAAAATCGAAATCTGCCTCAGAACCCATCGCAATGTCAAATTCCTGTTGCATTTTCTGTCTCATAAGTGCTGAAAAGCAGTAACCTTAAGAATAGGCTTGACATGCAAAGAATAATATTGGTCCATTCCAGTAAAATATGCAGCTGACTAATATCGCACTAGCTCTATAGACAACAAGTACGTCCGAAACGAATATAGAAATTTAAGCTTAATTTAAAAGCTTTCTTTGCGGTTTAGTACCTATGCGTTTCAGAATTCTATCTTAAGACGTGGCAGAATGTCGGTGAATAAAACCGTTAGAAAAAAAAAAGCCATCTTACAAGTTATTCCGAACAAATATTACCCCAGTAAAAGTTTAATGGAAACAACCAATCATTTTGCAACAATGATGACGTTGTGCACGAGAATTCCGCCTATTAAAAACACTTCGCAAGTGCAATATTTTTTGCAATGATCCTCACTTCAAATTAGATTTGTTTCAAAACTAAGGACTTTTTTGCAAAAGGTTAATAATCTCCACGCGTGTCTTACTTTTTTCCATAAACAAGTACTTAGGTTCATTATAACGTCAGCACGCCTGCTTTCTCGCTGCTTACCAAACAAAATTGGAACCCTTCAACTCAATGAAAAGTTGTTTATCCTGTATAAAGCCGGTCATCAATTCTCACTACCTTTGGTGGCATATTAGAAAACAAAACAGTTGAGAAAACAATCATTTTAGACTGGTCAGTGCGTCAAAATTTATAGTTTGTAACTTCTCCTTCTGCAAATTTTTTCTTGCTTCAAGACTATTGGAAATAACCGCGGAACTGATTTTTTGTACATTATGGGCGAGTGATTGAAATACACGTAACAGAAGCTAAACTTCGAGCTTTCCATTTTCCTGAGAAAATCTTATTACCTTACTTCAAAAACCCAGCTTTCAAGACATACTGTTTTACAGCCACTCTTGTACAACCTCTTTTAATATAAATTCAATTATTGAACAACACCTTAGTCAGGTAATAGATATTTTTCAAAAATTACTCTCGCTTAAACAGTCATACAGTGTAAAGGACACTCTACCGTCTATGTCAATGCGGCTAAAGCGTCCACTACGGAACTCTGTGGTGTAATTTTCCACTGCCTTGAAGTGCTCCAAGAATATATTTAGGCTATATACGCATGATTCGATAAATCTAAAGCCAAAATTCATCTAAAACAAATCTTAACAGCTTTCAGAACTGCTACAATATTAAGATCGTCAGCGCCTCCAGGTGCAACTGCGTTTCAAAAGGTCGCAGAAAAACGCTTTCATCCCTCATTCTCATCAGTTCTCGCTTAGTCAGTAACGTTTTTTTATTCGTTCTTTTTTACCCAATTCTTTTCTTTCTGTACTTCTCGTTTACGTCTTATACGTTAAGAGGTTTCACATCCCCACGTCTCAGTTCATGAGCAAACAGAAACATAAAGTACACTATAACGTGATCTGTGAAACATTTCAAATTGCTTACAAACAGATGCTAGCAGTTCTTTTAGAAATTAAAGAGACTATTAAACGAAAACACGAGCGCAGTGACCAATAATATCAGCTTTTGGTAAGCAAAAATAAGCAGCAAGTTATACGACATACAAAATATAGCAAAAAATACGTTTTTAAAAACTTTAATTTTAGTAAAACTTTCTTTTTAAACAATCCTTCATTTCAAAAAAATCCTTTCTCTAAAAAAACGGTTTTTTGAGAAACGGGATATCTTCTTGCAAATTCCCACGCTCACCTTACCTAGATTACCGCTCTGGTTTGCAATTGTAGTTTCTCTTACTTAAAAAGAAAGTGTAAGAATCATATTCAATAGACTGTTTGATGCCGACACAAAGATGAGATACTTTTTTGGTACAGCTGAATGACTGAGAACTAGGAAGACAAAACTGAGAGCAGATTGAAGAAGGATATGTAAGAAGAACTAAACCGAGCTAGCCACAAACGATTAGTCGACAACAGGCCTTTTTGGTATGTTTACTGGTAAATATTATGGATCTGCTTTCGGTTGGCCATGTTCAGTTAGTCACGTTGATTTTTGCACCAGTCTTTTTTCTGCTGCTTAAGAACCTGGCCTGTTGTTTCTTTCTCAATAATCTCTCTCCTTACGCTCAACGTGAGATTCGTGCTCGTTATTTTCTCATTTATTGTGTCAATACGTAATAGAGCGCATTTACTTAAGTGCGTTGTATGCAAAATTTGAGGAAGTTGAGAGTTTAATGGTGAAAGGAAGACCGTAAATGAAAAGAAAAGTTCTGCAAGAGCGAGGAAGTAAGTAATAGCCCCCTTGATAAATTTTTTGGGAGGAGAGAAAGAGGAAGATGAAAGAAAATTTTTACTGTTTTGCAAGGTCTTTGTAAAACGATAAAATTAGAAATCAGTGTAAAATTTGCAAAAATAGTCAATTACTTCGGACTGGCTTCAGAATACTTCGCTGTATAGAAGAGAATGTGAAAATTCAGCTATTTAGAAAAGAAAGAACAAAAAGAAAAGACAAGATTTTTAAAACGGCCTTACATTTGAAGCTAATTGCCAACGGGCTCATAAAGTCAAAATGAATTATTTGACCAGGGAAAATAGTGGAACAAGATTCATTTAGCTGATCCAAAACAACTTCCTCCTTAAACAGTAATAACATTAGTTGATCCTGCCATAATCAGCGTGTTACCTCTACAAACACTTGTAAACTCACTAACTTAAAAAAAGTAACTAAAAGGATAAATATCAGCTAACTGCGGCTACCAAATTTATCAATTCTCATTCAACAGTCATCCAACACGACTCCAACAACAGGCCCGCCTAGCAAATTTAAAGATGTAATAAACGAAAAAATCTTACGCCAAAGACATAAATGCAGTATTTTTCTCCTTCCGCTTCAAGAAAGAATGCTTCAGAGAAAAGTTTTCTTATCGAGTTCCGTGAATTTCCGCAGTATTTTTTAGAAACTATAAAAACCTTGTTTTTAAGTCATAAACTGAATAACACCTGCCAGAAAATCAATGCACACCAGGACACAACTGTTATTAAAAGGTTTTACTGGAATTCAATTTATTGAAAGAGTTAGTTAATCTTCTTATCCATTCTACACTTTAGCGTCCTAGAAGTATCTGAAAATTAGCGTAACACATTTAAAAAAGACTAACCTCGGACGAAGATATCACTCTGCATTAGGTTTAAATCCGTCACATTTTCTCCCTGAAGTAATTTTCAAGATACTAGTATTTTCTAATACGGAGTAATATAGCTTAGCTTCGTTATCTTCCTCACAGTGAAATATACTTTCTGCTACCTAAACTGTTTACTTCTTCCACCAGAAAACAAAGCTATTATCAGCAGCCCCACAAAAATTTAAAACACTAGTATTATAAAAACCTTTACAATGCCACTTTCAACTGGTTCTTAAAATTATACGTTTTCAGAAACAATGTAATACAGCTCATCGTGCTCAAAAAATAATTAGAACCACTCAGTCTAAACGTACTTTTTTTAGCAGAATGAATAGGTTACTGACCAACTTCTTTCACCGTTCTGCACTTTTTAAGTTATTTACACCGACTGCTTAAACCAAAAAATCCCTCTCTTCTTTTTAAAGGTTTAATTTTCCTAATGCTAATTTGCAGTGACTTTGTCAAATACAGTCATTCCTTGATGCTATCTTCGTTACGGCTTCTTCATCATCAGTCATGTGACACACTATGTAAAAAAAATATATATATATAAAAAAAAAAGAAATATAGAATTGATTAAAATATAGATTGTATGACCTACTTATTCACACTATGCTCCGGCAACTAAACGCAGTCGCATCACTTCAATGATGAAAGCACAGGCAAAATTTCAACCAGTACTTACCATTTAAAACTCACTGTAGTAAGCTCTTTAATAGTACAACTAAAAAACTTCACATCAATTTACCGAACTGAATTCGGGGTCATCCATATCCGAAATACCTTCTGCAATTGCTGCTAATCCTGAGGCAACAGCTGCATCATCTTGCGAGAGCGCTACTAAACTATTACAAGAAATTGGCCACCACTTTTAGAGAAATTTTACTATAACTGCGCGATTATTCAGTAAATAATTTTGATTTTTTTTTATTAGTTCTGGGAAATAGTAAAAAAAAGTTCAGTAACTGTCCAGCAGAGACTGCAGCGTATACATTCAACAGAATCAGCAAGTTTTTAAAAGTTATAGAATGGTTTACCGCAAAAGCTCTGCTGCAACGAGAAAAAAAAAGATAGAGAACAGAGCAACCGCATTGGCGAATCGTCGAGCACCAAAATTGTGATTCTAAAGCGACAGGGGACAATTTGCCATTCTCAGACAGACCTTACAATTACTGGTTACAAATCGGCAACTTATTTAACTTTTAATCATCAAATGTCAAGTGCCTCGTATTTAACAGAAGTCGCCTACTGAAATTAACAAGCAAAGCAAAACTGCCTGAACTGCGTTACTGGTACTGAAAATAACCGTTACTGCGGGCTTTCGTAATTGATTCAAACGCACATCTGATATTCCACTTTTGCCGCTCAAGCTATTCCTTCAAACCAAAAAATATTGTTAACGACGTATTTTTGAGGAAATACTGACAAACAAAGAGCAAACCATAAACAAAGGCATTGAAAAGCTTAAAGCAGAATTTGCTCTGCCCTTTTTTTCGCCTTAAAGATACCCTAAAAACAAATTCTCCTACTGACTTTGTCGCCGCTGAGTCACCACCCAGTACATCTGACATTAGTGAATTTGTCAAATCAGCAATGCTACTGCCACTCTCATTACAATTAAACTTGAGGTTGGCATCTACATCTCTTCTGGACACCTTGAAAAGACTATAAAAAGATAAATCTTCAAAGTTTTCGGTCATTAGGTTTTAACTTTGAAGCGAAAAGCAGTCCATCACTACTATCAGTGCTGGCCTTGTTGCTCTTTAAAAAAACGTTCTGCACTCTTTATAAGCTGCAAATATACCAAACTTCTTCTCTTCCAAAAACCCAGACCGCAAGTTTAGCAAAATTAATATGGCTGGAATTAAAAGCACTGGTTTCCCCAAGGATATCTTTAGCACGCTGAAAAAAATCGCAGACGGCGACGTCAGCTTGCCCGGTGAAGTTGCAAATTTTACTCCAAAAAATTATGGAAACAAAACTTTGCTCTGCAGCAAAGTAAAATATAATAGATTAGACCCAAAAAGTCATTAAGAAACAACGTCCGTTACTGTTCCGAAATGTGAAAAAAATTTTACGTAAAATGATTGTTTGATACGCACTATTTAGCTGAAAATTCACTTGTTTCAGGTCCAGGCGGCAAACAAAAACGCGACAGTGCACCCATCGCCTCAGTAACATTTCTCTTCCTTTTTTTATTTTCAGCTAACCAATGAAAGTCATTTTGACCGAATTTCTTATCACTGCCGCCATAAACATTTGACCTACCAGTACTGCCCGTACCTCGCCGAAATCCAATGAATCTGTTTTTGATGCCTGTAAGACGTCGCTAGTAAAAAACTTTAGTCAAAAACTGTTATAATAAAAATAACCAACTTTATATTGCTTCTCGCATGCTACGACTTCATTGCTAGAAATTCCGACAAATTTAATTCTGGGGTTATCGAGTGAATGAATTTTAAAAACATGCTGAGACCTTTTGGTATGACGCCTACAAAATGAAAAAGAAGTTATGGGAAGCTAAGGTGTAGTAGAATATGTTCCATCTTACAGCAAAATGCAGCTGTTTCTACACTGCTGCGAAAGCCATTAACTGAGGATTCTTCCAGTAATCAAATACGCATGCAAACCTGCCGCTTGTAGAAAGGATCAACAAATCCTTTTATAAAAAAACTTACCAATGTTTCCAATTTCTTTTATCACCACAATCGTATACATAAATCTGAGAACATAATATGTCCGAATAAAGCACTATATCAGAGCAACTTATATCCACTTAACTAAAAAAGTACTAAGCTACTTACAAACCAACCGCATTAAGTAGAAGCAAATAGTCACTTTTTTTACAGTAAGAGGTAATAGGATAAGTAGTAAGTTTTGCAAAACGTGAGATCTACGAACATAATAAAATACGACCAAGCCTGAATACCTCTAAACAAGCCATATCTGTTGGCTTTCTGTCTATGGTAAGGTTATTTTTTTTATCCACTTTGCACTTCGTTGTTTGCAGTTCTTCATCTCTAGCAGCATTTGTTGAATTAGCTTACAAACCAAATTAGATGTTCTGCTGTATGTGATCTGTTGTAACCCCAAAAAGTCAATTTTATTCAGAATTCAAACTGAGTCTTGTGCCTGGCCACATCAAATTTGATTAATCTCATTGCTACTATTATACACGACTGAATCCGTGATAAGCGCCGCTGTTACGCCAACCGTTAGGATGATAGCTCAGCCGGGAGGAATTGACACTGACGATCTAAAGATCTCCGGTTTGGTCTCAGCTCGTTGTACATCTTAGACACCGACCACTTGTTTCCGTATTCCAACCTCTTCTTTAACTTGTACCATTTGCGTAAACAGTAATGCTCTTTTGAAAAGACTAATTTCACTATGTGTTTCCTGAGTTGGTAAATTTGATCCGACTTGGATAGGGGCAACAGTACAGAAATCCACTTTCTCTGATACGCGAATGAGGCTAGTTTATTGTGATTCCACTGGGCGTTATTCGGAAACAGAAGCTAGTTTCTCAAATGCACTACCGATCTGCAGCGAAAGCGAAAAAAATAGATTGCTCACGTCAATGGCAGAATCAATACCCAGATACTATGAGCGAATTTCCTTGTACAAACCCTATGCGAAAGGCTTGCACGGCAACGCAGGTGAGTGCGGAAGACCATGCCATCAGTGTAGTGGCTAAAACCTGACCGAAGAAAGATAATCATCATTTTTGCATTGACTACTTTTTGATTTCTTTACATTCACGTTTTATTATTTCCTGAATACTTTTCCAACACCAGCGACTCCCCGACCAGTGCCGCTGTTACGCCAACCGTCGCCATAATAGCTCAGTTGGGGGAGCTTTAGACTAAAGATCTAAAAGCCTCCGGTTTGATCCTGGCTCGTGGCACATCTTAAATAACGACAACTTCTCTTGCTATCCTGACTTTTTTAAACAGGTGGCGCTTGCGTTTTCAGCAGCAATATATTGCAGAGACTAATTCTAAAATATGTTTCTAAAGTTCGCAGATTTTATATCGCTACGGGGCAGAACAATGCAATGAGTTATTTTCCTTTGCGAACATGAACTTCCAGTCAATTTTGTTCAAGATCATCGTATTTTTCCCCTTACAAAAGCCACGTGAATCTCCCGAACTTTAAAAGCGGATTTGAAACTTTTGCATTTTAAAAGAGTTTTGTAAAAACATACAGTTGATCTAGCCTATTTAAAGCTCTCCGAGGAAACTGTTCACATATGCGTCGCGCCCACTCAATCGTCTGGCTTTTGAACCACTTCCACTAGCGACAACCAAGTGCCAACAGTTTCCTAACCTAATCTGTCAAAAAACCGATTCACCCCACAGCAGGCTCGAACTGCTGACCTTCGCATGTCTCAGCCCCTTATAAGTACGACGCGAAAACCAAGTGCGCCAATGGTGCGGCAACCCTGTGAAAAGAGAAAAAACATGAAACATCGCTGTGTAGCAATCACAAAGTCATATCCGCAGCTCCACAGTAAACACTTCTCTGGCTGCTGTGCCGAATCCCTGTACAACATAACGCTCAATGATACACAAAAGTCACAACACGACCTTTTTGTCTTCATTCTAACGCTTTAACGACTGAGCTATCATGGCGACCGTCGCTCTAACAGTGGTGCTCTGCGACGAGTCGCTGCCGTATCCGGGAGGGAATAAAATTAAAATGA